GTGGTAGCGCGTGCCTGTAGTTCCAGCTACTTGGAAGGCTGAGGCGGAAGGATCGCTGGAGCCCCAGCAGGTCGAGGCTGCGGTGGCCGGGAGCATGCCACTGCACTCCAGTCTGGGGGACAGTGAGACTCCAACTCAAAAAAAATAAAATAAATAAAATAAAATAATAATATTTGGATGGAGTTCAATGTCTGATTTTGCTGTGTTGTTTATAAATCATGTAGCATACTTTTCACTTATTTTTCTTCTTTTTTCTCAGTTTATTTCCAGAGTTTTAAAGCTGTCATGTTTCTTTCCAGAAAGTTGCATAGCCTCTGTTTTAAAACCTTTCTTCTAGTTTTTGTTTGTTGATTGGTTGATTTGCAAAAGGGTAGAAAATTATATAGGAACAGAAGTAGAATTCAGGTTCTAGGCTCTTAAGCCTAGTTCTCCTACTGGTCTTCAAGTATTAGAAAGCTTTAATAACCAGTTTTTATTTTTCCTTTAGTCTTCTTAAAACTCAGGCAAGAAAAAGCAAACAAACCCACACCAGGGGAAAAAAATAAACTTCAACCCACATGTATGCTTATCTCTACTTCCTGCATTCCAGCAACCTGGTTAGAGAGATACATATTTTTTTATTAGGTAGTTTTCAAGTTATAATTAACTACAAAAGTTTATTAAACAGAATATTCTATCCTAGGTCTTGTTGAGTTGTGAGTTTATATATATATATGTATGTATATATATGTAGCTGTTGTTGTTGAGATGCCATTTTTAAAGTCATTGTTTTTTAAAGGAAAAAAACCCCAATAATTTCTTCTCTTTTTTATTGAATAAAGACAATTTTTATTGATTTTCAAATTGTTACTTTTCTCTTTCTTAAAGTATGGGTACCCCACTGTGTTCATTGATATGTTAATGTTTCTTGTTTTTTTTTGTTTAGAGTATAACTCGCTACACCGAGACATTTTTGCTGTTCTACTTTTCACAATGATTGGGTTTGCTAGTATGTTTTTACTGAAAATTCTCATTGTAGATGTTGGGGCCAGGAGTATGGAACTTCTTGATCCCCTTAGCTTGAACCTGCTTATTTGGCTAATTTATAATTATAACCTTTTTAAAAATGGGAATTTTATATTTATCTAGAGGTAAGTGACTGTTTGAATACTGCTTTATGATTCATTAAGCACTTTTTCATATACTCTGTTGAACTTTTTCATTGAGTTATACATATAGAAAAGTACACAAATTACGAATGAATTCTTATATTCCTGTTTGATCCTCACAACACTCTTGTGAAGTAGGTCTTATTTCTATTTGTTGCTATTTTTTTGTTTTAGCCTTTTTTTGTTTTATTAATTCCTATATTTTTGTTACAGTGACTTATGTTTTTCAAAAAAAAATAAAGTATTATTATCATGTATATTTTGAAGCTGGTATTATAAATATATCAGTTCTGAATTTTGATGCACTGGGTATGATAAATGCATACTGGCAAAGCTTTTCATCAGTATGTGTACATTTATGTGTCTGTATGGAACTTTTTTTCAAAATTAAAGATTCTGTATGTACAGTGATCTTGTTCTTTGAGGAAGATGTAGGTAAATTTCTGGGTAAAGGGTTGGTGAAGATGTTGCCAACTAACAAAAAGATGTGTAATAAGTAATTTCATGGTAATTTCTTTGAAATTGTCCACTGTGTTTGTACTAATATTTTGAGTTTTTTGTTTGTTTATTTTATTTTTAATTTTAATTTATTTTAGATTTGCGGAGTAAGCGCATGTTTGTTACATGGCCATATTGCATATTGGTGGGGATTGGGCTTCAGGTGACCCATTCCCCAGATAGTGAGCATTGTACCCAATAGGTAACTTTTGAACCCTAACTCTCTTTACCATCTCCCTCATTAGTCTCCCTAGTGTCTATTATTTTCATCTTTGTGGCCATTTAGCTCCCATATATAAGTGAGAACATGTGGTATTTGGTTTTCTATTTCTGAGTCAGCTCATTTAGGATGATGTTCTCCAGCTCTATGTTGCTACAAAGGACAAAATTTCTTTCTTTTTTATCACTGTATAGCATTCCATGGTGTATATATACCACATTTTCTTTATCTAGTCAATTATTGATGGACACTTAGGTTGGTCCATGATTTTGCTATCTTTTTTTTTTTTTGAGTTGGAGTTTCACTCCGTCGCCCAGACTGGAGTGCAGTGGCC